TTATTAATAATTTTATTGAGAAACAAATAGCAGTGAGACAGTTTCAAAACCGATTACTAGCAGTTTCACTAATTAAAACATTGCATCTTGTTGTCTTAGTGGTTATTGATTGTACAAGATGCAGGCATGATATCCTGTCCACAAACACTATTAGAACAAATCTCTATTCAGTGATCCAAGAGAGTGCAGCTGTGTATCTAACCTAACTATTTTGAACATATAGTTACAAAATGGCCTTTCATTTGTATCCCCTTTTTTGTTTAGTTTTGTCAGAGAAGGGTATTCCACTGTCATTTAAATATTGTAAGTGCCAGAATTCAGCAAAATATTCCAATATAGTCCAGTAGTCCATAATAGTAGTGGGTTTTCCGTAAAACTGGCAATGACAGAAGTTGTTGACTTGGCAGGGGGTTGGCTCAGTGGAATAAACGCTCGCCTGGCAAGCGCCAGGGTCTGAGTTTAATCCCTGGTTCCAACAACAACAACAACAACAACAAAAGAAGTTGTTGACTTGAGCCTTTTACAGCTCAGCATATTAATATGGCTTTACCCTTTGTACTCTGTGCCCACACTTCTGTGCTGGATGGTCAAGACCAAGACAAAGCAAGACCTATATGACAAGTAATGTAACTTTTGGATCTGATAAGATCAGCCAAATCCCCTCAGGACTTACCCTGAAGCCCTGTACCGCAGTTTGTAGATCCTTTGTGAGTGTCAGCCATGTGGATGAGTCACGGCCATTGCTTGACCAATCTGAGGAGCAGACTTTTGTAAAAGGCGTTTGAAGAATGCTTTCCTTAAAAACAAAGATGTGAAGAACCCAGAAAAGATCAAAGAACTTATTGAATGAGTTGAATTTGTAATGAAAGAGCTAGAAACTTTATATTTCCTCAGGAAATACAGAGCTTTGAAACAACGCTATTATTCAGATGTCAACAAAACGAATTGATCATTATTTTTATAGATTGGCTGAAAATCAGAGACAGCTGCTTATATATACAAAATACTGTGAAATAAACCTATCTGAAAAATGGCGACACATATGTAAAAAAATTCTGAGCTGTCTTGCTGAACTAAAATCTTTACTGATACAAGAGCTTTGTCTGCAACCAACTCCATGCTCATTTTTTTAAAGTAGCTACAATATCAAATGTAAATTAGTATTCAATATAATACACTTAATTCTCCATTTTACTGATGAGAAAACACTGCTAATAAGCAGAGTAACTTCTTATATATTTATTGTTCTGAACATTTGAAGTACTTTTCTTTTTGACCCAGTTTGGTACACTGAAGCTCATATTGAAAAAACAGTCCATAGTAATGATTTAAATGCAATTCTAGAAATACGAAGATTATGTCAGACCTTAAAATAGCTGGCCAATGACTGGCATTACATAACTTCAGTTATTTCCATTAATTTGGTTCATGGCTCCCTCTGGGTCTTAAAACATAACCAGTTATGCACCAGTTGTCTTCTTTCATAAAATGTAATAAATGATGTTGCTTTACTTTTGTCGTAAAAGCAATTTCTTTTGTATTTACTTCTAAATGGGTTAACCTGGCAGTGGATCAGACCCTAACATGATTTTAAGTTTAAATAAATATATAAACCTTTTTATAAAAAATAAAATAAAAAACCGAAATGAAGGATCAAGAACAGTGGTCTGAAACCTATTCATACGATGTTAGGATTAAACAAATAACAAGCAGTATGAAATTTCACACCGCAGCAGTGTTGAAAACAGAAGATTGATAAATACAACAGCACAGATTTTCGCATTAAAACAGTAAAAGCTACAGTTTATCTATTTTTTTAAATTTGTTTTAGATGTGTTTGGTTGTTACAGGCTTCTCAGACTCATGGTGATCCTCCCGTTTTCAGTCTCCCATAGTGCTCCCCACTATGACCTACTTGTGGCCAGCTCAGCCCACTCAGTGGAGA